GCATGGACAGGTGATCTAATGAGGGCCACTCAGCAATGTGGTTCCAATAGTTCCAATTGTGCACTTTTTAGGTTCATTTAGACTATCATTCTTGCAAAAGGTCTGCTATCTATAGGCTTGTAGTAGAGAATGAAAGAAACCTTCAAGCATGTTCACAGGAATTTAAAGCATGCAATTATTTCCAATTTGACATTAGCTAAATATTATTTCCAATTCAATTTCACACCACAGTAAAAGCTTCAAGTTATATAATGGCAGTTCAACCTGAAACGTTCCGTTGCAGATGGATCAAAGAGCTCTAAGAGCAATATGTCTTCATCAAATTATGGATCCAGGTGGAAGTCACTTCTAAATTCCATTGCCAAACAAGTTTCACAGGTTTGTAGATGGGCTATCTGACCTATATGTGTTATTCCATAGACTTTTTTGTTTCTATGGCTTGATTCCATGCGAAACATGGCTATTGCTTATCTCCATAATAGCTGTCCCCTTCATTGAGGCAGATATTTGGTGGTTAGTTTTTTGTTTTGAGCAATATTGTGTGTATTTGAGTTGGCCCTTTTTCTCTGTAGCATCATCTTATAAGACATGACTGTAGAGAGAGACGATTAGACCATGAAGAGTAAACCAACTGTTGGATAGTTGAGTTGTATCCAAGTATCTGGAAAAAAAGTTTGAGCATAGTCATTTGAAAATTGAGTTTGTATTTTCTAGAGAGGGGCATCGCCAAAGGGATTTATAATCACGAATAGATACTGGTTATAAGTTTCTTTGAGTTAATGTGTTTGTCATCTGGACTCTCTCTCTCTCTCTCTCTCTCTCTCTCTCCCCCCTATTTATGTGTATGTATTCATACAAAAAAAAAGGTTATTTATCACAAGAGCTTCTGCAGTTCACTGACTGACTGATTATATCTAACTAAAGGTGCCTCTCTCTTTGGAAATAAGAATAGCATCCCTTCGAGGAACACTGCGGTTACATATCAAGCCACCTCCTTCAGACCGGTTATGGTTTGCCTTCACATCCATGCCTGATATAGATTTCAGCCTGGACTCGTCAGTGGGAGACCACAAGATTACTAGTGGACGCATAGCTTTGTTTCTGATCAGTCGACTTAAGGTACATTCCATCTTCGCTAATTTTCCTTCTATTACTTTTTTGATCTCAAAACATGCCTACAACTCAAGCATGAGACACCATGATTGTTACTATGTTGTCTGAACTACTTAATGTCACCTTAGTGTAAACATGGTTCTAATATCTCTCTTATTTTTCAAATATAAGCTCGTAAATAAATTATTGTTGCTTTCGGAAATATCTATTTATAAGTGTGTAAAGGCTACTAAGCTCAGCTCAACAGAATGCCTTTACACCATAAATTTATGGTTTCATCTTTTATCCTTTTTTGTTACTGTAAGTTACTGTGTAGCTACTCTCTGTCGTTCCAATGTTTTGATTTGATGAAGCAGGATAGGGAAGTATTTTCCCTTCCATCGATCTTAAACTTTGAGAAACTTTTTTGCAAATAGTTTTCTAGTGTCCTTGATGGCATGCATACAATCTTATGCTTAGATTTTTCGCTAAAAAAACTCAAGTGATATGTGGAAGCAACCAATATTGCTAGGTGCTTCTGCTGAAGCTTCATTTTACTTGTACAGACAGCAATCCGAGAAACTCTAGTTCTTCCAAACTTCGAAAGTGTATGCATACCATGGATGCTAGCAGAAAAGGATGATTGGTTACCCCGAACGGTTGCTCCTTTCATATGGCTTAACCAAGAATGCGTGAATGATCCCACCACTGTATGTGAAGGACCCATCTGCCAACCTACTGAAGGAAAATACAAGACAGAAGCTAACAAGGGAACCTCCAGTGATCATTCACAACCCAAGGATAAAAAACTCAAGAAGGCCGAGTCTATTGGACAGCCAATTGGTGAATCCTCAGATGCATTAGTCTTTTCAGTGAGTTCCAATGATCCGTCCGCTGGGAGTACTGATGCGACTATTCAAGAATTGAGAACCCCTTTATTGGGGAATGGTGAACCAGAAGACACTTTCAAACACAAGCTAGGGAAGACAACAGAGAGTCAATCACCATCACCATCGAGGTCTACTATATTGTTGGATAAAGAGAATCATACCATTGAAGAAGATGAATCAAGGCAAAAGAGAATGGGGAGAAAAGCAAGGATGCTTGATCTGGGGAAGAAGATGGGGGAGAAATTGGAAGAAAAGAGGCGCCACATTGAGGAGAAGAGTAGAAACATTGTTGAGAAGATGAGAGGACCATGAAACAGCCGGCGTAAGAGACATAGTTGCATTGTTGATAGTTGTTGCATCAATTATTTGTATATTTTTTTTCAGTTGTCTAAAATGCCTTGAGTACGGAAATCTTTTCTTATTCTTGCTTGCAGAACTGGGACTGTTTGCACTTGCACAGCTGTTCTGCGGATGTTTTAGCTTGAAGTCATCCGTTCCTGTTGTAAGTTTTACAGAGCAATAGGAGAGAATTTACCTTATGCATTAGCTAACATTGTAAGCCAAGTTCTTTTAACATACCATCACCCCCATGCCAGATTTTGACTCCAGCCTGGGGCATTCTCTTAACTAGGCCCCTGGTATATGCTCACGCATGTGCCAATTGATTTTCTTTTTTATTTTTTCTTTTTTATTTTATTTTTAGAATTAAGAAAAGATAACATGAGTACTTACTTATATTCCATAAAAGTAAGACCTATTTTCTGATTTTTTTTTTAATTTTAATTTTTTTTAATAAAAAAAAAAGTGAATTTACCATATTATCCTAATTTAATTCTTAATGTTTGAATTAACTAAGGGTATTTTATGGTATTTTGTCTCTATTTTTTGCTTTATATATAGATAAGGGCAAAAAAGTGTTGAAGAGCGAGTTGGGGAGGGTTTGGGCCAACAAGTTAACAAGTTCTTTTCCATGAGGTCTGGAGTGGAAGTTAGTGGGGTGGTAGGGTGATGCGTTTGTGGAGCTAGGTGAAGGTGGAGTTTATGCCTGTTGGGAATGGGCCGGGTAGGTTTTTTTAACTTTGGAAGTTTATGGAGTGATTGTTTAAATATTTTTGGACAAACTACAAAAGACCTCCTAAATTATGTTCATTGTACCTTTGGGGACATTAACAAATATATACTGAAATTTCTGGAAAACCTACAATTTACCCCATCCGTTGCCTAAACCGTTAATGAATATGTGAAATGCATACGTGGCAAAAATTAGCCCCATTTTTTTATGACATAAAATTATTTTATTATTTAAATTAATAAAAAATTAAATTAAAATATATAGTTATTTTTTTATAAAAAGAAATAACTCAACAAATACCCAGGCTCTTAACATCCACCACCAGCACAACCTATCCAGACCCAACCTCCCTAGCCCACCCGCTGCACCACCACACCACCCACCATCTCCGCATCCCTGCATCACCATTGTCACAAGAACGTCAGGTGTTAGTTTGTTTTGGGGCGGGGGGGGGGGGGGGGGGGTTGGTTTTGTGGCTGCTGGTGAGTTGAGTGGTTTTTGGGTGGTATAGTGGGTGAATAACTTAGCGTCGAACACAATGGAGTTGAATAAATGGCCTAGGCGGGCGCTAGGCAGCCTAGGTGGTGGCTAGGCGGGCAAGGCGGGGTCTAGGCGGGCTAGGCAGGCCAGGCGAGGGCTAGGCGGGGGCTAGGCAGGCTAGGCGGTCTAGGCTGTCTAGCCGGGTGCTGGTGCCGAGAAGAAAAAAAAGGCCATTTTGGAACTCCAAGGTCTTGGACGAGATGACGATGGCGTTGAGGCGAGAGAGGGAGAGAGAGAAACGAGGATTGAAGAAGAAGAGAGGTTGCGAGTTATGTTTAGGGTTTAGAAAAGGGCTTGGGCTTCATAAAATACAACATTAAATGAATTTTGCATTATGAAATCATTAAAGTAACCACTAATAAGTAACAAATAACAAATTAATATTTTAAAATCAAAAAAATATTATACTATTTGTTAAATATATAATTTATATATGCTTTTATTTTTCATGATTTTGGTATAAATTTATAATTTATAATACTTAATAATTTATTAAAAAAAAGCATAGGCACTCGCATATTACTCCTTTAGGCGCTAGGCCCTTGCCTGCCGCCCCCCTTACTGTATAGTGATTTTTCGAACATTGGGTTTAATATGTTGGTAAATTGAGGTGTACCAGCACTTCAATTTAAAACCCTGACCGACTCCAATTCCCTTATGTTGTGTTCATAATTAACTAAAAATTAGTTGCATTGCATGGCGTTTAGATTTAAATTTTATGGTATAATTTTTCTCAAGACTATAAACAAAGAAGCAGTTTCGTCAGTTCTCGATTGATTGTGTTGTGGCTATATGTCTCCGGAGTATGCCATGGGCGGGATGTTTTCTGAAAAATCTGATGGCTACAGCTTCGGGTTCTTGCAATTCGAGAGATTATTAAGAATACCAGCTTCTATTCCAATGACCAACATATAGGCTTCCTAGCTTATGTAAGCTCACACTCTAAATCTTAATGCAAAATCGTATCTTTCATACAGCTTAAGCAACCTATATGAAGCTAAATGCAGCAGAGTTTAACAATTCTGGCCAACATACATGAAATTTTGTTAGGCATGGCACCCATGGAATGGAGGGGTTTGGAGTTGGTTGATGAAGTATTGGTAGATTCATATTCACCTTCAGAATCTCATGGATTTCTATTTTTGAAACCCAAAGACATTGCATATGCATGGGTCAAGTTTCAGATTGGCAAGCGCATGGAATTGCATACGATTATATTGGATTTTTGCCTCAGTTTAGGTGCACAATGATGTGCCCATTTTTTTCACAAACATGATCCAATTGGTATTTGGTATAACAAACACAAGCAACATATACAAGTTTTGGCATGCAGCCAGCATACCAAATTCACAAAATGTAAGTGGGGATAAAGGGAACCAAGGTCCCAAGTAGGAGTTGTCCAAAAGATGCAACCCCCCACACAAAACTCTCGTCTGGGGACTTTACCTCTTGGTCGAGCCGGGCTAAAGTACAAATGACAGAGCTGAGCTTTTTATGTATGATAGAATCTCTTTACAAATCGAAGACGACTTGAGGGACTTCTCGGTGTGGAAGCGATGATGCCTTCACGACAATATCCTGAGCGCTTCAGCTTATGGGTAACTTTATATTTATGCATAGAATACAACGTGGACTAATATATATCTCATATGTAAGAATGAGATGCCTAATATCAAGTACTTAAATTTCAAGGGTGCAAAAGTCAATCGGGATCCTCTTGTCACGTTGTTGCGCGGATGCAAAGATCTGGTGATGTTGGACACTTGGGATTGTTATGGTTTCAATGAGAACGACGATGAAATATCAAAGCTTGCGTCTCATATTAGTAAATTTATGTGCGAAGGTTATGAATTTCCTGAATTTCTTTGTGGTATGGACAATTTTGTTCTTCCTGTTGATGGATACTCATTTCATCTGCATGTGGAGGAGACGTGGGATGAAATGCTCAATTATTTGAGCGATGCGTTCAATGATTTGGGCGACGAGGAATGAAGAACTATTTGATTGTACTAAGCGATATCTCATCTTAACTTTCCCTTCCCACCAAAATTTTTCCTAGCTAAATTTCTTTGAGGTTCAGGAAAAATTTCTTGGTGAAAAAATGTTGGTTGCACCAGCTTAAGAACAGGCACAACCAGAAGACAAATGAAATAATATGTTATATTTAAGAATGAGATGCTACTTCTCATCTAACACATGTTGTTCGAAATCTCATTTAGAATAGTTCATATATCAATCTCATATGACCTATGATACCTTCAATTAATTTCAAAATAGAACTGCAAACTTCCGTTCGTTGTCTCTTTAGATTGTTTTATATCCAATTTTTCATCTACATAGAATACAGTGCGAACTGATATATCTCATAGCAGAAGAGCAGGGTCATCAAGTGCAATGAGAAAAAAGGCTGTAATTTGGTTTAGTTCAAAATTACAACGAATACATTTTAGAAAATAAATTGCTATACAAGCAATTTTATACTATGAAATTCCTTTGATCCACAAAATGTTGGCGGATACCGTTTATTATTATTATTATTTTTGGTATTTATGGGTTTAACCTGTATTATTTGTTATAAATAAAATTCATTTTTTATTCTTGCCCAATGGGTTAATAGCTGGAAATCATTAGAACGGGAGGTATCAGAAAGAATTTAAATTATCAATCCCCAATATTGCTTGTATAAATAAAATAATTGAAGAAATAACCCTAGCCCACCCTAAACCCTAAAATGATATGACATTTAAAAGGTTATAGCTGTACTTTCTCGGATATTTTAAAAATATTAATACACTCGGATATTTTAAAGGCATAGCCGTCCGGCTATACTCTTTAAATATTAATATATTTGAATATTTTAAGAGTATAGCCGGTCGGCTATACTCTTTAAATATAATCCAAACGAACACGAAGCTTGCACTCGCGGAGGACGGAGGTTGCAGACGCAGTCACAGCCATTTCGCTTCTCTATCAACTCAGGCTTCGATTTTCAATTTCGACTGCTTCGTCTTCCGGGTTCAACACCGAAAAAAGACCCAACCCGCCTAGGAGGCCCGCCCAGCCGCCTAGCGCCCGCCTAGCCACCTAGCCGCCCGCCTAGGCCGATTTTCCGAACACTGCGATTGACTGAAAGTCTGAAACCCGAAATTGAAGAAGTTTAGTTGCAAATTTGAGCTTGAGATTGAGATTGGGAAGCCGAAGCAAGCACAATTCAGGTCCATAGAAGAAGAGATCATGAGACTCTTAATTCATCTAATTCCATTCCTCTCCTTGTTTCCCGCCTTATTCTCTTCTCTCTTGGCTCTCTCCCAAACGACATGCTCACCTCACCACACCAACGACAATGACGACAATTCCTCCCTTCACCAACTCCACCTTATTATCTTCTCTCTTCGCATTGACGGCATGACGCAGAAGAAAAAAATTCAAAATTTGCTGCTTGGTGTCTGTCTTCAGTGGAAGGAAATGATGAATCTATCCTATCATGGAGTTTCTATGGTCTTGCCAATAACAAGGTTCGGTTTTTAGGCCCCAATCTCAAATTCTGACTATTTATTTCTGTTTTGGTTAAGCAATAGATTGATTGGTTTGGTTCTTCTTGCTTGAAACTTGATAAATCTTTATGCATTCAATATTCATCCATTGATGGTTCTTCTTGGTTGGACTGCTTTTCATTCTTTGGATATTGCATTTCTGTTATAGATTTTTACACTTGATCATGCCCTCTTGTTTGCTGAGAGAAAAAAAAAAAAAGAAGAAGAAGATTTGTCTCCTCCTCCTGTTGCATAGGAGCCCAAAACCAACCCACCAAAGACCAGAATTTTTTTTTAATAAATTACACCGCCTCAAGTGAAAAATCTAATTCATTTATGCTTTTATATTTGTTCTTGTATCAGCATCTGTGTTTCTGTTGTGTGAACTCCACCTCAACTCCAAAGAAAAAAAATAAAAAAATTAGAGGGTTGTTGGTAATTTTTAACAACAATATTTAAAACCTTGCAAGTGCACAAATCAAATGATAGTATAGTAAGCAAGCAAGGGTCATTCCCACAGAGATTGTAATCTAGAGAGATGTTTATCAATGTCACGCAACGAAAACACAAGGACTTCCACACACACGCCAACACCAAGGGGGGTTTTTATTTGATTTTGTGAATAAAACAAAATAAGGAAAACAAAACAAAACAGAATTTAAATTAGAGTTTAAGAGAAATTGGTTTATAATCAATCAAGAACAATAGCTAGGACTCACTATCCACCTCTAACCAATCAATCAATTCATAAACAACAATAGATAATCAATTTCTAGCAATCATATGATGACGACACTCACAACAAGATCATGGCATTTGACTCGAGTTGTATGATTCTCTCTTAAGTGCATGTAAAGTGTATGGCATTTACATCAATACGTGTATTCTTAATTGAAATCTAGTATGGCATTTACTCAAATTAACAATTAAGAATCCATTAAGATCAAAGAGAATATGAGTGTCACAAAAACCCTAAAACATGGCATTTGTTATTAGGAATTCAAGAATCGATTTCTCATAACTAGTTCTTAACCCAATTATTCGTTGCAAACAAGAACACATTCAATATGGCAATTGACCTATGTTCTACAACAATTTAATTCCAATACATGCTTCAAAGTTAGCTACTCAAAGAAACAAAATATCAGAATTCACAAAACATAGAGAAACCGAAATCATCACACTTGTAGAAACTGAAAATCCATTCAAACTTGTTTATAGAATTGAAATCATGTTTAGGGCTTCAAGATTAAGCCCTAACTAACAAGAAATTAGTTACTCATGCTCTTGGATGAACTCAAAAATAAATACATAAGAACTGAAACTTAAAAGAAGAAAGGAAAAGAAAGAACTCGTTGGCAGCTTTCTCCTCTTACGCGGTTGATCCCTTTTGGACGTGAATCTGTATCTGGGGCCTTGGCTGGCCTTTTATATCACTTATATCAGAGTTCTAAAACCCAAAAATTGACTGACAAGTCGTCCAAGAAGTCTTGGTAAACAAGGAATCCAAATAGGAAAGTAAAAATCACAATTCCTAACTCCACAGGGAAATACAGCTCAGCCCAATTGTCACACGATTTGGGGATCTTCGGCCTTGCAGAAAAATCATTAAAAATATATTTTAGAAAGATAAATGTCTTATCTTTCCAACCATATATAGCACGTAACTTGGAAAATTCGGGAAGGCTTCCATTTCTTCACATTCACGTAACATGTATGAAACTGTCTTGTCTGCACATGGGCTAACTTTACTTGTAATACTGTACCAATTGGCTTGGTAGAAAATTCTAGAAAAATCACAGATTGAACTTCAAGATGTTAGCTTTCATCTCCAATTGGCCTTGCTCTAAAATTCCTCCGAAAAGTTGATTTTTCCTTAAAAACCTTCTAAGAGCGCAGAAAAGCTGAAAATCAGAAAAGTAAAGTAATAAGCCCTTTTTAAATCTAATTCTCCTACAAAACCTAAGTAAAAAGAGTACATAAATGAGTATATTTATGGACTTATCAAGGGTGCATTTGCTAACGCATGGGTTGGGAATCTCTTAATTATATTTAACTTTTCAAACTGACTTCAAAAGCACCAGATTAACACACCAACATGAAATATCATTTATCGAGCCTCCATGAGTGTAAAAGGACTGTGACTTCATTACCTGAAAATGCTTTAGAAGAAGGATCGACTTCGAGTTCATTGAGATCCCTTTCACTATAAAAACCAAGGTTTTGAGGTTGAGGCAATGACCCTTCAATTTTGAAGGATAGCAAAGATTATTCAGCAAACATCTCCAATTTTGAAGGATTCAAAAGCACCAGATTAACACACCAACATGAAATATCATTTATCGAGCCTCCATGAGTGTAAAAGGACTGTGACTTCATTACCTGAAAATGCTTTAGAAGAAGGATCGACTTCGAGTTCATTGAGATCCCTTTCACTATAAAAACCAGGGTTTTGAGGTTGAGGCAATGACCCTTCAATTTTGAAGGATAGCAAAGATTATTCAGCAAACATCTCCAATTTTGAAGGATTCAAAAGGTGACAAATATTTTAATCTGATCTCTTAACAATTTGTGTCTAATAATGGCTAATATGCCGTTAGAGAGAAACAGAGATAGAGGTGTGCATATCACTGTGCTGGTTGTAATAGTTGGCTAATATGTACCTACTGGAACTATGAATATGTCTGTTTTCTAACCGTCCAGCATTCAGTCCCATATAGCATGGCTGGTCTAACAGATGTTCTATAAACTTAGCTTTCAATTCTAGCAAAATATGATGATCACACTATATATATGCTTAACAAAATCCTCCATTTAACCTATCGTGCTTTGATTCTATGAGCCACATCATCTCCATTCTCCCCTTGTATATATGGATGATTGAATACATGCTAGATAGTGAAAGTTTTTGCATTTTGATATACTCTTAGTGGTGAAATTGGTTGCTCTTATGTCTTCGTCAGAACCAAAGGCTCCACTTGGTTAGCAGAATTCAAAGGAATATGGTTCCAGTGACCATCTTGGAGAGAGAGAGAGAGAGAGAGAGAGAGGCGTTTTAAGGGTGTGCGCTTGTTCGTTCGTCTCCTTTTCTCATTTAGGTGGTGAGTAGATCATCTTTGCAGAGATACAGCAAGTGCCCTTCTGCCCCCCCTTTAAATATCTGATTTTTGGGCTCTTCCTTTTCCCCTCTCTCTCTCTCTAGAATCCCCCCACCTTCTTTTTTATTTTATTTCTCTTATTTATTCAGTTAATTTTAGTGACAAAAACCCAGCAACCTTTATTTAATTCAGTGCTTGATTAATTATAGTTATTAATTATGTATTATTTTGTTTTTAAAAAAAATTGTAAAAGCTGCGGTGGCATGGGGAGCTGGAAAGCCTTTGGTGATAGAGGAAGTGAATGTGAATCCGCCTCAGGCAATGGAGATAAGGATCAAAGTCGCCTGCACCTCTCTCTGTCGCAGTGACATCACTGCCTGGGAGTCTCAGGTACTCTCCTCTTCTTATTTTGTCCTCCTCTTTTCTCCCTTTCTTTTCTTCTTCTTTTCAACACAAATAGAGATAAAACAATATTACTTTTCCTTCAATTCTTTTTTTCTTGTTTCCTACTTACTGAACATCTAGGAAAATAATCATTATCTGGCTAGGAAAATTCGTTTAACTATTACTTATGGTTTCTGTCTGACCAAGAAAAATTAAAACTTTGTTTGTGCCACTGCCAGATATGCTTTCTTCTTTCCGGATGGATTAATTTTCTTGCAAAACAATTGTTCAAGATTAGTCATTAAAGTAACTGGGAAGAAGTAAACCTTGGTTTAAAGTAATGAACTTATCCATGAATTGATATCCTGTTTAAATTTTTCGAAATTCAGACCTATCAGGAGCTAAGCATCAACTGACTATTCATCTAACTGAAAAAAGTTATCTATGTATGTTGATACCAAAAATATGATTATTTATGGATGCCCCTTGATGGTTACTGAACATGGATTCTCCTTAAAGAGCATCTTCTACCTTCTCCCTCGCATCATCACATGACGCAGGAGAATAATTTGGTTCGCGTATGCATGTCGGTGTTTGTCTGTGTTCATGTTGTAATAGAGGAATGAATTTTCCGTTCATTATAAGTTTCTTCACAATTAAAATGCAAAGAATAATATATAAAGGCTTCCTTTGTTTTGGAGGTGATGGGGGATAGGGAGGAGCAGAAGAAAAGGAATCTGATAGCCCTCACATGCCCCTGCACGTAGTCACATACATATGTAATTGCAATTCTTGATCAAGGAAAAACGTTGCTGACATATGTTGACATATTTTTAGGCTTCTGTAAGTGCAGAGACTTGTTAACAGTTTTCACTTTTCAAATATGACAGCGGCATGACTTAAACAGTAATGATTTCTTGTACGATAGGTTGCACAGGGTGCTAAGCTTAGGGGAGCATCTCAAATAATTGGTGTTCACACTAATTTGTATCTGGCGTTTCTTTGAAGGGATGGGGGTTGACAGTTACACTTGGTGTGCCAAAAGTGAAGCCGGAGGTAACAGCTCATTATGGAATATTTCTTACTGGAAGAACATTGAAGGGATCTCTATTTGGAGGATGGAAACCTAAATCTGATCTCCCTTCATTAGTAGATATGTACACAAAAAAGGTAAAACTAACTAAAACTTCATTGAAGCTTCAGTAAGTCCAATCTCCCTTCTAATATTAAGTGTCCTTTTCCCTCCCATTGTTGTAAAATTTGATGTGTCCTCATGTAGCTGGAAAATCTACTGACAATGTTTAGTCCTGGTTACAAGAATGCGATAGGGCATGCCCAAACAATTTATCATGTCTTAGTTTGATAAATGTCTAATGTACAAACTTATCAAATCATCTTGTTTGAAGTAGTAGGGTTATAATCTGAGTTTCGCTTAGTATCAAATTCTTAGGTTGAATTTATAAACCATCTAGGTGAGGATGGTGATATCAATGGACAAGTTGGGCTTGAGCCTTGGGCGGGATGTCTCTGAAGTATGAGTGCATGATAACTTCTTTAGAGTTCCAACTGTTCACATTTTTTTTTAATAAAAAAATTCAGAGAAATATTTATCACAATAAGTCTAGCATAAGGAACATGCCAGGAGATTGTATAAATTTCAATTTGTGTTTAGGTTTAAAGTATTAATAGAACAAGATGTCGAGACAATACGGAGAATTGGAGAAAATTTCAAACCGCACCGTTTATAATATGATTCATATTCCTCCTCAAATAAAAATATAATGTGTCATAAAACATATAATTTTTTCTTCTATTAAAAAAACCATAAACTACATCTGACTGTGTGTGACACCTCGACCCAATTTTAACAATTAATTTAATTTATTTATTTGAGAAGTTACAATTTTGCCCTCGGGTAAGGTCACGATAGTCATTTGTCAATTTGTGTGTATTTTGGGGATTTGAGTAGCACTGTTGCATAGAGTGCGTCGATACGAGTTCGTAGACATGTAGTGGGCTCAAATCGGAGTTTTAACGAAAAAGTTATGATCAACAGAAGTGCAGTGGCACAACCGTAAATCTCTATCCTCTCTCTCTCTCTCTCTCTCTCTCTCTCTCTCTCTCTCTCTCCGGCGACGACACCACCGCATTTGAATGAGATTCCGGCCCCGTCTGGCCACCAAACTCGAGGCTGTAACTTGTAAAACGCTCCTCTCCACTTCCTCTACACGACCCACTAAATTTCCAGACTCGATTTTGAGTCGTGAAGCGACTGAAACGAAAGGAAATCGGGTCAATTTGGGTTATGCCACTTTCTAATCCTCCCCACCCTTTTATTCACTACTACAAAACTGATGAAACGGCACGATCATAAGAGAATAAATACAAAATTGGGTTGTCTTTTCTAACATTAAGCACAAATAAGTTATATTTATGTTCTTTTCATATAAAACACAAATAATTATGTCAAATATGTTGATATAAATACAATTTTGTATTGAACACGGTTAATCGTGCTCAATCAGTTGTGTAAATTGATTTGTGTGCTATCTAACAAGTTTTTTTTTAAAAAGTGAATGATTTTACTTTCATAGACACAAACAATTGTGTCTTAATTTGACAGATTTGACAATATGATTCACAAAACCAATATTTGTGCCCGATATATATGTTTTTGACATAAATGGCAGTGAATATATATATATATATATATATATTTTCGTTACTTAAATCGTGCCCAATAATTTACACCTAGTAAAAAAATTTATTTTTATTCACTTAAAAACCCTACGCCCTTTAACCAAAAAACCCACAATCCCTCATCTTTCCAACTCTAAACAAATATCTCACCTTATCATCTGAAATCTTCTCAGTAGCCCACCCTTCTCCTTTTTTGAAGTCTTTCCCACTTGAAAACCTCTCTCTCTCTCTCTCTCTCTCTCTCTCTCTCTCTCTCTCTCTCTCTCTCTCTCTCCCTCTAACTCTTTCTCTTAGTTCGACGCCGCTGCCATTCACGACCCCCACCTAAACCTAAACCTCCATATTTTGAAAAGTTCTCTATTCTTCACTCCTCCGAAGATCTATCACTTGCACCAATACCACTAGAGGTGTCAAACAGACCGGGTCACCCCGACATGGCCCGTTTAAGTAAGGCACGACATAGCCTGTATTTTTGGGTTGTGTCGGGACGAGGTAATTAAGTCCAATGGATTGAGCTGGCTCGTAGCCCGTCATGGATCGAGACTACCCTTGGCCCATCATGGGCCGAGCCAGCTTGTGGCCCGTCGTGGGCCGAGTCGGCCCGTTTAAAGCCCATATATTAAATTTTACTTGTTTTAGGAAAAAATAGAACATAATATTACTACATTTATATCTTAAATTCAAGTCTATTTCTTTTCTCTAATAATATATATTAAAATTAATATTTTCTTTATATATAAAATAATGATTTTGTTTTTCAAGTTTCAATTTTTAAAACCCACACAATAATCTAGCCATTTTCTATTTAAATTTACTTTAAATTAAGTTATTGTCCTCTTTTTTAAAAAAATAATAAATCTTATTAGTATATACATAATTGCAAAAAAGATTTAAATAAAGTTGTAAAAAAATTAGAACAAAAAAAGCAATACATAAGTCAAATTTGGCGTGGACCCATATCGGCCCGTTTAGTGGCCCGACACGAGAACGGCTTGAGCCCATATAGACTCGGGCCGGGATTGATGATTTTCCTAAATGAGCGGGCCCAACACGACCCGTTTATTAAATGAGCTGACAATAAATAGACCGGACCGGCCCAACACAACCCGTTTGACACCTCTAGGTACCACCCACCACCTCCACCACATCTCTCCCCTCATTCTCTCATTCTTAGGTTTTGGTTTTTGAGTGGTCAAACCAAAAATAAAGAAGTCTAAGCTTCTGTTAGGCATGAACTAGTAGATCAACATTTGAATTGCAGCAAATATGTTCAAAGTATATTCAGTATAATCAATGGAGAAAACAACAATTTCAAATATGTAGGGGTATTTTGGGAATCTAAAAATTACAATAAATCAATATTGAGCTTGATAAGGTAACTTGATGCGGTGGATTCTAGTCATGGGTTTTTACTTATAAAAAATGAGTTTTATTAATAGGAACAAAAAATAATGGATTGCAGTTAAGGAAAATTCAATTTGGAGGGGGGGTAAGCCAAATTTACTATAAATAGAACATTATACAACTTGATTTCCATCCCAGTTTGTATCCATTACCATGCCATCGGCTATTAGTGAGATTAACTAAGGACCGACTAGTAGATGAATAATAAACTACTACAAAAGTACCATAAGTGATAAAAAAAGAAGTGAACTAATGAAGAAGGTTTTTGAGTGGTCAAACAATAAATAAAGAAGTCTAAGCTTTTGTTAGGCATGAACTCGTAGATCAGCTCATTTCATCTTCTTGATTACAGCATCCCAGAAGCTTCACTATATTCCTGTGCTGAAGTTTGACAATATGTGTAACCTCATTCTTCAACTCATTGAGTCCTTGTCTAGGATGTTTTGAGAGCCTTTTCACAGCCATGTCTTGTCCATCTTTCAGTGTACCCTGAAATCCATTAGCCGCATATGATGACCAAAATCCATACTCTGTAGTTTGCGAACGTACAATATACGACTTGTATCCATAGTCCTGACCCAAATGACATGTGGAAACTGTCAAGCTAACTGTACGGAGGACTATATTTGATTTTACCTTAAAAGGCTGATCCGAAATCACCCCTTCTCCAAGTTTATTGTTGTTTGAAAAGTTATTGGTTGCACAAACAACAGCGGCCAAGTCAAATAATGGTAATTTCAGATCTTCCTTTTGGCTGGGCCTCAGCTTTATCTTCTGCAGACAACGAAAATCGATGCACTCCTTCCCCAATGTCATACTTTGCTCTTTGCATGCAACTGAGACATATAAGAACAATTATAATATTTACCTTCAGAAAGTAAGATGTCAGCAATTTCTTATTAACTGATTATGTACTATTATCTTCAAATATCAGCATCTATTTCTATCATTTGGAATAATGAGGTCATATTTTGTTTGGCCTGGGTGATCATTATAGTTTATAATCGTTATAAACTACCATTTTCTTACAGGATAAACTACCATTTGCAAACCAGTGATCTATAACCAATATCCAAAAAGCAATTCATGCACAAGAACCAATTGATCGTCATATAAATTCCCAAAGAAGAAAAGGCTTGTAACTCACAGGTTAAGTAGCTTAGATGGTGCGGGACGTAATACAGTTAATGCCTCCTTCCACTGCCACTGGCATTCAGATAACGAAAGAAGACGCTGCAAAATTGACAACTGCCATTCCCACTCTTCAATGAAATGTTTAGCAATTGACGCTCTCCACTCCAATGCTTGTCTTCCACCCCTACTTACGCCATCACTTAGAGCATGATCTAGTTCAGTTATAGTTGAAGGAAGACAGTGATGTAATATATCAAGTCGTTTCCCCGTGAAAGATACAACCATTTTGTTTCCCTCTTCCCGTGTTAGATCAGTTTTCTCTGAAGCACATGTGTAATGTAATTCAAATTAGCTCCATGCTAAGGCACAATGAGCCAAATTGAGACAAAGATCATCCATATGTAAAAGCGAACTTTTGACATTCGCCATCATGATCTCCCACTTCCCCAGCCCCAACTTCATATACCAATATCTCTACTTATGAGTTATCGCCCCCACACACAACAAGAAATAAATAAATAGGAAAACGACTAATTTTAGATATCCAAAATATGAGTAAACAAATAAAGTAGCAAAAAAGGATGGCAGCATAATAAGTACATGGTTATTTGTAAACCCCAGCTCATAGAATCAAGAAATACTTCATATATGCAGCCATGGTTGATGCAGGAAAATTTCGTTCTTACGTAATATGCAGGGGAAACCAAGTACACATAATCTGCAACAACTGAGCACTAATAACTGCTGGAAGGGCATATTACCAACTTAGAAAAGAAAAGCAGCCATAGCATGTTATCAGTGGACTTTTGCCGCACTTCCCATTCACAAGATGCATAATCTTCGATGCATAATGCACACACAACAAAAAAGACTCCCACAAACTTGCGAGTTACAACACAATATGGTAGTATTATTATATTAACGTATCAAAACTAACAGAAATATTATATTAGCTTCTCTTGGGGCGTGTATGTTAAAGCATTTCAAAGACTACTTTGGGGTAACTCATGCTGGTTGGACAGAGTTTGGGCTGAATGTAATCTGATTTCATATGTCATGTCATGATTGTTGGTCTGATTTTGATGGTTTTCTACAAGATATCTTTGAAGACGAAAAGAAGAAAGAAATAATTTTCCTTTCTCTGTTTTCTTTCTAGCCCTTCTTTCACGTAGGTTTTCTTTCTCTGTTTGGAATAAGATACAGTTTTCCTTGTAAAAACAACAAAGAAATAGACCTGAACAAGATTATTTTGAGGATTTTGAGGACTAACCCGAAGTGGACTTTGATTTCCAGTACGAAATTCTCAACAAAAGGGTCAAACAAGTGATCTTCGCATGCTGTTTGTTCTTTAGCAGACAACATCAACGATAATTTTCAATTCCGTGCTTGACCATAACTGACGCAGGTAACAGAAGAAGAAAGATCAAGTGTATGCACAATGATTTTGAACTTTTGATAAATTCTTTTAGGCATGGATGTTATACACGGAAGGCCGGTTCATTGAAGTGCTTGATACATCAATAGGGGACTCAGGTGATCCGCATGAAGTTGTGAGATTATTTCATGCATGTAGGTCTTTTATGTCTGCAACGTAACCTGGGAGATAGGCCGAGCATGCCAGTTACAGTTCTAATGCTAAGTGGTGAAGGGTGATTGCCTCAACCTCAAAAACCTTGTTTTTATAGTGAAAGGGATCTTAATGAACTAGAACTTTAAAAGCATTTTCAACAAATGAACGCAAGTGCTTTAGATTTGGGACAAAGATTCATGAAGTTCCAAATTGCGTGAGGAAGGATCTCCTAAAATGCCACTGCAATGTGCACGTGTTATAAGGTATGCAATTACAATCACTTCAATCATATGCACTTAGCGAGTTAGTGATAGGGGAAACCAGTCTAGAATTTTCAGATTCTTTAGAGAGCATGTGTTTTTTGTCGTTTTTGACCATTGTGTGATATTTACTATGTGTAGTCCTAGATGGCTATTTCGACTTTAAAGGTATTTTGAATCTCTATGTGATACTGTGGACTGTGGTAAAGACTTCTATTTTCTTTGAAAGCCATTTAGAGGCTCAGGTAATTATTTATGTTTACTTGGCGGTCCCAACCCAGAGCATATATATACAGTTTGAGTTTGGTGTTGTATAACTTACTGAGAAGACTTGGGGGAACTAAACCATGCATGTTCCCTTCTAATGGCTAGCTCACCCTTACCCTCACCATCATCCACACACTAGTAGTAACATTTTACATATTGAATCAATGGTCAATAAGCTTTCCAATAACATATTTGTTCTAGCTAAGCAGCTGTGAGCCAGTGGCAATGAGAGGGTACTAAAGAGATAGATACTACTACTTTTGTGTGTGTATATGGAAGTGGAGCCATGACACTATATTTTTGACACAAGTTTTGACACAACAGTGCCCAATCAAAAGGGTATAGCCGCCGGCTATACTAGTTTTTTATAATATAAAAAACCATAGTATTTATTAAAAAAATTAATTAAAAAACGACCCTTCTATTTGCATTAGTTTATACTTTATAGATATTAATTTGCTAGTTTCGATATATATACTCTATATATTTAAATTTTTTAATATATCTTATTTTTATTGAAAATTTTATAAAAATCAAGTGTATTATACATGAAAAATACATACGCACGTGTAAAATACAAGTATTAAACATGAAAATGCTAAATTTTTTATAAGGCTATTAACTCTGGAAAAGTGAAAATTCAAAAGGGTATAATAGAGACTCGTGTAAAGGTTTAATTGTAATGCAAAATGCTCTAAACTATCGGTAAACAAAAATCAGGGAAAAAGGATAATAGTAACCATGTAAATAATATAGCCGCTCGGCTATACTATAGATGCGCGGCTATACTCTTTATTTTTATATTAAAAAAAACCCGCGTATAGGCGCGCGGCTATACTGTTTTCAGTTGAAGAGTTCAAATCTGGCTCAAAACTAAGCACCACAAGATGCTAGAGGAAAAGACCATGAGATTCTAGGGGTACATATAACATATTAATGATAAAATAGGATGCTTATTTATATTTGAAGTGTCAGTGTGACCTCAAACGACATTGTTTTAGACTATTAGTTAACAATATCTTCACATTAAAAAAAAACAAAAAACAAAGAATTTGAACTCCATAAGTATGCGAGGAAACTTAGAAATGGCATTTACCGGGTTAGGGAAAACTTCGAAAGGGTGCTATAGTTGTAACACCCCGACCCCAAATTATCCCATGTTTTAAATTTACTTAAGTGGAATTGAGAAATTACTCGTGGGATATGGGTATTTTAGCCATTTTCTTACCCGGAAGGAATTTGAGAATTCCGGTTGTACCGTTGCGTAGAGCACGGTGAGATGAGTCCGTAGACACGTAGTGGGCTCGAATCGGAGTTGTAACGAGAGAGATATGATCAAAAGAAGCTCAGTGGCATAATCGTAAATATTTGGAAAATGGATTTTTGGTTAAAAAGACGGGATTGCCCCCGTCTCTCTGACACTCTCTCTCTCTCCCGCGCGCGTCTCTCCCTCTGGTTTTCGCGACAGCCACTGTGGCCGGCCACGTTTTGGCCGGCCGTGCTCTCGTCCGGCCACCAAAGTCGACGGGGCCGGTACCAAAATGACCGGGCCGCCGTCCTCTTCCTACCCCAGCCAGGTCTCGCCGTCAGCCGTCGAGATTTCGCCGGAAAATCGAAGAGAAAAGCTCGGTTTCGCCCGAAACTTCGCCGGCTTCGTTCTCCGTCGTCCGGCCGCCATTTTTGGCGATCAAAGTATGGAAATTCATCCCTTCTGCATGATCTAGCTGATGGTTGGGTAGGATTGTATCGATTTTGAGCCTAGATTATCTGATTTTCGAGTTAGGGTTCGGCCGGATTTCGGGATGAGATTCCGGCCACTTCCGGTCAGTTTTTGGGGTACGTCCAAGAACAAAAGTGACTCCAAATTAGGTGTATTACCTAGGGTAGGAGTCTGGGCTCACGATTTGGAAGTTTTCCGGCGATGGGTATCGCTTTGGACACCCACGCGCTGCCGGCGCGTGTGGCGGCGCGTGGGCACTGTAGCTGAGGGGCATTTTTGTCCCATTGTGATCCTCTCGATGTCACGAGCGCGCAGGTGTGCTCGGATCTCAATTTGGATATCGTTAGAGTCCCGAACGGATATCGCATATCGCGTATTTTCTGGGTTCGCTGGGTTTGGACCGTTGGATGGTCCTGATATTATAATATGTTGATCTAGGTATTACCAGGATCGTGTAGGATTCGACGGATCGTAAAACGGAGTCCCGGATACTCCGGAAATGCCAACCCTAGGGTTAGGGTTTTAGTAACCGTCCGATCGTGCGATCGTGAGCGATCCGACCGTCCGATCTGGACCAAACTTGCAGGACGTGCATCCTAGAGCTTGTAGAACCTATAGGAACTTTCGGATCAGAAATTGGAGGTCGTGGGCCCTGCGGGCCCGTTTGACCAAGGTTGGGTAGTTTGACCCTGGTTTGTCCGTGGGACTTCCTAGGTAGTATTACATTCCTAGGAAGATTAAAAGGACCGTGGTGACAGGTCCTGATGTCATGGGGATTATGGGGGATTATCGGATGCTAGTTGTTTGTTAAGGTGTTTGTATGATTAGAAATTACATGATATATTTAATTGTTTGTGTGGATGTATAATGATATATAAGGAGATTGAATGTTAGTTTACAGTGCTATACGCACTACTCCACGTACCCCCCATATGGTGATTATGTTGAGGCCCAAATGATGGTATGATGGCTGGTGAGAATGTAGCCAGGCCCAAGTGATAGTGTGAGGTCGCACGCGTCTTTGGGTTAGCCGGCGTGTTGACAGACCCCGTACGTGGCCGGGTACGTCCCGACGTATGAGTGGGAGATATGATTGTGTGAGGGCTGGTGAGAATGTAGCCAGGCCCAGTGTGAGGTCGCACGCGTCTTTGGGTTAGCCGGCGTGTTGACAGACCCCGTACGTGGCCGGGTGCGTCCCGACGTATGAGTGGGAGATATGATTCTGTGAGGGCTGGTGAGAATGTAGCCAGGCCCAGTGTGAGGTCGCACGCGTCTTTGGGTTAGCCGGCGTGTTGACAGACCCCGTACGTGGCCGGGTGCGTCCCGACGTATGAGTGGGAGATATGATGGTGTGAGGGCTGGTGAGAATGTAGCGAGGCCCAGTGTGAGGTCGCACGCGTCTTTGTGTTAGCCGGCGTGTTGACAGACCCCGTACGTGGCCGGGTGCGTCCCGACGTATGAGTGGGAG